GCGCTGGCTTAACAGCTAAATATTAGTTTGATTTTTTGTAGATAACTTGGCTTGAAGACATTCTCAATATGCCCCCTTCCCAGTAGATTTAGAAGCATAAAAATAAACTCGGCGTCTATCCGAGGTTTTGTGACCCCGCGTGAAAATTCAAACACACTCGTCATCTTCACCACTCAGCACAGAAATGTTGTGCCATGAACCCGAGAGGTTGACCGCACCCCGCCTCCTCCGTGGCGAGTTATTCCGAAAAATAATTAGTTAGCAGTGCCACTCGGTCACATGACGATCCGTAATCGGGAGGTTTACTTACCAGAGGAGAAGTGGCTATCGGCCACAGGACTCGAATCTTGAACTCCGTTCACGCCCACGAGTCCATTTCGTGTCGGCTGTGATCGGGAATACCTTACGTCGTGTAGACGTATGAGCTCACCGATCTGCCCTAAATTCAGGCTAGGAAGTTCTGTTTGGTCCTTGAGCCCCAGATCTAGGGACCCCGTATACGATTGCACTGTCGGCAACGTCCATTGATTATCATTTCCAACATGGTTCTTGAAAGTTTCTGTGTCAACGTTCACTCCCCAAAGCTGCAGACATTTTTAAAATAAGTTTTCTTTCAAACCATAGGGAAATTAGCCTGACAATACTATAGGAATAGCGAAACGGACCATTCTTTAGGTTAAAAAAAACTTACCGCGAATCACACGGAAGCTCTTCGGGCTAAAGCCGGTTAACAGAACCAACGATCCAGCTGCTGGTACTGCTCCTCTTAAATCAGTGCTGTGCCAAACCGGCCTCACAGAAAAAGATAGAATCCGCTCAAAATCTGTTGATTATGTCGCACCAAAATATACACACATCAAGAGAAGGCCAAATGATGTTGAAGCAGCACCCTCTGCCTGCTGACGAAAACCAGTTCATTGTTGTAATCAAAAGGCAGGCTACTGTAACAGTATTGGTTCCCCCTGAACGGTCGAGAATGCATATTAAAACAGTAGTAAGCCGTTATCAACCGACTTCGATATACCAGTAAAGAGGACCGTAGGAAACAAGCTGACGACTGCTTATGCAGAGGCCTAACTTTCAGCTCTCCGGAGGTTGAAGCCCGGGGGTGGAAGATGAAAAGCGCAGCCAGAACAACTTTTTTGAAACTTGACGGCAGTAATGTGTGCCGAATTAGAGACCATACCTCAACGCAGGCTTACGGTTTCTGGACGCAGACATACTACTCAGTCGGCCGCAGAACAAGCTTGCGTACAACCTACCCGCCTTTGAAATACCACTAGGTGAGAGGTTTTGAAGACGCGAGACTGGCTGAGCCGATACTCGTCTTCAGTGTGGCAAGTAAGGATATCTGATCAATTCTAACTACACAGTATGCTTGGCCCCGACTATTGGCAGAGAGCTAGTTATTCTATAAAAAGGGCCGCTTGCCGTGCTGTCGCATGTTACCTGCGGGTCAGACGAAGGCGTCCGTTCTGGAACGTGTTGTTTAAGCGCCTGACACGACCATAGCAACACGCGGAAGTGATCGGGTGGGTCACCCGCGTGATTAGTTGGCTCACGGGCGGAGTCCCGGGGAGGAGGTGGGCCGTGATCATAAAGCCC